GTTCCTCTCCCCCCATTGGAGCTGCGGTGGCTCAAGTGGTTAAGACGCTGAACTGCAGGCTGTGGAAGGTCAGTAGTTCAGCGGTTCAAGACCCGGGTGCCGCAAGACAGGGTGAGCTCCTGTCTCTAGTTCCAGCTCCTGCCAACCTAGCAGTTCGAAAGCAAGAAATTGCAAGTAGATAAATAGGTACCACTTCGGTGGGAAGGTAACAGCGTTCCGTGCGCCTTGGTGTTTAGTCATGCCGGCCACATGACCACGGAAACGTCTTCGGACAGCGCTGGCTCTTCGGCTTGGAAACGGAGATGAGCACCGCAACCCTAGAGTCGGATTCGACTGGCTTTCGAGCAAGGGAACCTTTACCTTTACCTTTACCTCCCCCCATAGCCAGTCAGAACACAGAGGTTATTTGCATATGCAGCCTCATTGGCCTTTGCCTCGGAACACAGAGGTCGTTTGCATATGCGACTTGATTGGCTTTTGCCTCTAACATTCTAAACAGTTTTCTGTTCTGAGGTAAAATGTGTCCAATCTCCAGGTGGGGGCTGGAGATCACTCAGAATTACAACTGCTTTCCAGATGGCAGAGATCAGTTCCCCTGGAGAAAATGGTGGGCTCTGTATCCTTATATGCTGCTGAGGTGGCCCCCATATGACAGCCAATGTGACGTAGCAGTCAGGGCTTCAGAGCACGGGACTGCAGGTGTTTGGGGGGTGGAAAGCTGAAGAGTGAGGGGGAAATAAAGGTAGGTTGATGATTGGCTGGGAAGGAGATAGGTTTGCCAACTCCTGGTGGGAAATTCCTGGAGATGTGAGGGATGGAGCCTGGAGAGGGTGAGGTTTCAGGAGGCGTGGGACCTTGGACAGGTACAAAACCATAGACTCCACCCTCCAAACCAACTATTCCCTTCTGGGGAACCATTGTTGCCAATCTCCAGGTGAGGCGTGGAGATCACTCAAAATTACAACTGTTCTTCAGGTAGCAGAGATTAGTTCCTCTGGAGAAAATGGTGGGCCCCGTGTCATTATACCCCACTGAGGTCACCACAGCAAATTGACACTGAGTGTCCAAGGCTGGGGCACCCGCCAGAGCCTCTTTCTAGAGGCCGTTGTATTTATTTCCACAACGGGCCTTTTTCCTAGTATGGTATATATGTAGGTTTACCCGCCAGATATTTGAAAATAATTTTTAGCAGGAGTTCAAAGAGAAATAATGGAAAGGAGAGTGTCTCATTGTGAATGGTCTGACAGATAGGTATCTCTGGAATTAACCTTATTACTGTCAAATTCAAGAAGATTAATTGTGGCAAGTTAGAAACAATGATGGGTGACCTCTTCTTCCCGGTGTAACAGGCCCCTGACCTTCTCGCCTCCCGTCAGTGCCGCCTGCCTGTCCCCAGCTGGCGTGTTCTGTTTCTGGGGTGGCTGCAGCTCTGGGGTTACTCTGGCCAGGGGGTGAATCCGGCCTGTTACCCCTTTGGGGTTATTCTAGGCTAGGCCAGAGTAACCCCGGGGTTACTCTGGCCGGGGGGGTGAATCCAGCCTGTTACACCTGGCTCAAATTAGAATTGATTCAGAAAAGCTGAGCTAAAAACAAAGAAACAAATGCTTTTGCCTTTTTCAATTTCCAAACTTGAAATAACAAGTGGGAACCTGCAAGGACTTGTGGAGAGGCATGTAACTTTCCCCCTCCCTCACTATTTCATCTTTCACTCCCAAAAAGCCTCCACAGCCACTCTTATTTTCCTGTTTCCTTCCCACCCAATAGCCAACCTGACTTTATCTGCCCCCTGCAGCCTCTACCTAGCTAAATTAAGGCCCAGTTGTGTGGCACCAGCTGCTAAGGCAGGCCCACTTGCATGTTAGGGAGCCCTCAAGATCTTGTGGGAGGGCACATCACTTTTCCTTGTACTCCCCTCCTTACATTATTCCCTTTTCCCCTCCTCCTGATGCCCACGCCCTTTGCTTTTTCCCTTCCTCCTTCTCAGCCATTCACCAACCTACCCTTTATCTGCCTCCCATCTTCAGCTACATTTATAATTTATACTGGGAACAAAGCCTGTTGTGGAAGCGAGACAACAAGCTGTAGATAGACGTGGAGCCTTTCCTCTCCCCAGCCCGCCACTTTCTTCCCACTCCCCAGATGCCATGAGCGGCGGGGTGAGGGCTGGCAGCAGTTCTGTGGGTGGGCTGTCTCTGACCCCCACCCCGTTTTCTTCTCCCTTCTGAGAGCCTGTTGTCAAGGTGCGACGGGCCGGGCCAGCAGTATTTCCCTCCCCTGTGGAGTCGAGCAGCTTGCGATCCACCCCTGAGGCTCGTGACAGTTTGTCCTGAGCTTTGTCCACTCAGGGACCTGACGGTCTCCTCTCCGGTGTTTTCCCCAGGCCCCCGACACTCTCCCCCGCTGTCAGCAGTGCCTGCCCGTCCTAGCAGCCTCGTGCTGTTGTTCGTGTCCCCGGCTGGAGTGTGCTGCGTCTGGGGTGGCCATGGCACTGGCCGCCTCCCTCACTCCTGGCTGCCACTTGTCTCTTCCTGTGGGCCTTCACCTCAGAGCCATTCTCGTGCTGCTGGTGTCACGGCCGGGCGGAGTGCAGGTGGCGAGCGTGGCGGAGGGGGGGCAAGCAGGCTGCAGAGGGAGGCTGCCACGGGCGAGAAGGCAGCATCAGTGGCACGGGCCAGTGCAGCTCGGGCCGAGAGGGAGTGACCAGGCCACGGGGAGGCCAGGCGGGACCAGCCTCCTGCCTCCCTGTGGGAGCACCGGCCGGAGCATCCATGGTGGCCGACGGCTTCATGGAGACTGCAGGGGAGACGCTGGTGCGTCCAGTGGCTTCTGGGCTGCCTCCGTGGCGGTCCGCCCATCAGCCCCCTGTCCCTATTCTGCCCACTGTCTTTCCTCAGGGAGCTGATGCTCTCCCCTCCACTGTCTCCCCCCAGGCCCCTGACCTTCTCGCCTCCTGTCAGTGCCGCCTGCCTGTCCCATCGTTCGCATCCCCAGCCGGCGTGTTCTGTTTCTGGGGCGGCTGCAGCTCTGCTGCTAGCCACCTCCCTCCCTCCTGCCTGCTCGGCACCCCTCCCCACATTCCTTCACCTCAGATTCCTTCTCCTGGTGCCACTGTCATGGCCAGGGCAAGTGGAGGCAGTGAGCACGGTGGAGGGAGGGGTGAGCAGATGGCATACGGAGGCTGGCAAGGGAAAAGGTGACGTCGGTGGTGCCAGCCAGGGCGGCTTGGGCTGGGGCTGGAGGGAGCGAGCAGGCCGTGGGAGGCCAGGCAGGGCTGTCCTCCTGCCTCCCCACAGGAGCGGCCACTGGAGCGTCCATGTCATTGGATGGCTCCCTGGAGAGTGAGGGGAAGAATGTGACCAGAGGCTGTATGGGCAGGACTGAGGGAAGCAGGCAGGCAATGGATACAGACTCGGGGTAAGTGACACAGCAGGGAGCGAACTGATTTTGCCATGCATCGAATCTTGCCGCCCCAACTGACAATTATATTAAGGAGATATTTTCTTCATTTATACCACACCTTTCTCCACAGTGGGGCCAAGGCACCTTACATCATTCTTCTGAACCTCTTATTTTCTTTTTATCCTCACAACAACCCTGTGAGGTAGGTTAGCCTGAAAATATGTGACTGGCTTTACATCACCCTGTGAGCTTCCATGGCAGACCGGTATTTGAACCTGGGTCTCCCAGACCCTAGTATGAAGCTCTAACCACTATATCACACCAGCTTTCATGGGGGGGGGGGCTACTATTGAAGCAGCCAGGCCTAGGTGAGTCATGTAGATCAGGTAATAGCAGGTAGCCCTGGAGGTGGCTGCTGGGCCTGGCCCAATGAGTCCTCTCTCAAAGGCTGAAACAGCCCTGAAAAGGGCCCTGCCCCTACCCCTTGCCTTTTACTGACAAAACAGCCTAGAATGCTGTGGTTGTCTAGTAATGGTTATTGAGGGCTTCTGTTTCTTAAAGCTACAGGTGCTCCTTTTATCATTTTGAGGTTTTTTAACCACCACCCCATGTATTTTTTTAGATTTCAGATTTTTTTTGCAAACCTGGGGCATTTCTCAGGTTTACAGAAAGAGCTGCCTTGCCTGTTCAAAATATCCAGCTGACATGGCTATTAGTTTATAGATAAAACAATTCCCCCCCAGCCTACTTGTTCACTTTTTCCTCCTCTCCCACTTAACCAGGCAGGCAGTGCTGGGGATGGCCACCTAGCTAGTCAACAAATGCACTTAAAGGATATTCCCCCCACATACCTCTTTCCCCCATGTCTTGGTTGCTGTTTTGGCAGTGCTGGAAGTATACTTGGTGCACCCTGTGGAACGTAGTCACCCTGATGACAACATTTCCCAGGATGCTATAAGCGTGCCTCAGAGGCTGCTGAAACAATGTCTGAAGTGCTTGAAAGAGGGAGAGGGAAACTGTCTTCCCACCCGTTGACTACCTACTACCACCAATATTGCCAGGTACAATAAGGTAAGGGGAGGAGAAAGAGGGAAGGAGTGGGGGAATGGAAGGGAGTTCTTCTATGACTTAAAAATGCAGCCTGAGGTGCAGAAGAATTTTGAGCTGTAATGTTTGCCTTCATGTTAAAACTATTATAGGATCCTGCATTACATATGTTCCCAAAGAATATGAGTTTCAGCAACATTTCTTTGAATCTTGCTAGAGCAAATTGTGTTCTGAACAGAAGAACTGAAAACACTACATGTCAATACAGTTATTAGGCGATGGCTACTAGTTTAGGTGGCTCTTTAAAAGGATGACACATATTCCTTGCTAGGTCTGTCAGGGGTCATTAATCATAGTCATCATCACTTCCATGTTCTTTGAGGTTTTAGAAACATCTGTCTGGTTACTTTTGAAAACCAAATGCTAGACTAGACAGACTTTGGCAGTTGTTGAATAATAGCTGCATTGTTTTTGCAACAAAATTCATAACAAGCAAAATAGATTTACTGTTCTGAGCCTTAATATCTGATTAAAGGAAATATGTCTTTTAAAAGGTATGATGTGAACGGAAAAGGCTGCCTCACTCACCAAGAGTTTCTATCGAAATTGGGGGTACAGTGTACACCTCCTAGCACTGGACTCAACAGACAGTGTACAGAAGACAACTGTGTACCGTTTATGAATCATTACAAAAACGTAGAAAGGAAAGAAACTGACATCAATGAGATTGTAAATAAAATCCGGTAAGTAAACAAATTACTTTTTCATTACTGTTGCACTTCTGAAGATGAAATTATATTTTTGTATGGTTCTATATTTATGAATATGAGACTTTTCTCCTTCTTGATGCACAGAAAATTGATTTTTTTTTCACATGGGGATTTTTTTTGTTTAGAGTTGTTTGCAGCTTCATAGACTAAAATAAATGAAAAGGTGGTTTTCCCCAGAAAAGTCCAAGATGTTTTCTGTGGGAACGGCTCTCCCTGCTCCTGCATTTGTATTCCTCCACATCTTTCACTCATTTCTGCAGATGTTTTTGCAGTCCTAGGTGCAAAAACTCAGTTTGTCCTCTCTTTTGGTGCAGTATCAGACTTCTGTTTCCAGAAATTCTCTTGCTGCACCAAAAGAGGGGGCAAAGTGCGTTTTTGCTCCTGTGACTACAAAAACCTCTGCGGAAATGAGTGAAAGTGGCAGAGGAATACAGACGCAGGAGCGGGGAGAGCCATTCCTGTGGGAAATGTCCAAGTTTTGACAGGGAGAGGCAACAGAAAAGGCAGGGGCAAAGGCAGCATTCTTAGTGTACAGAGAGCAAATATTTTCTGAGGGTGTTTTTAAAAAAACACACAATTTTTTATTTTAACAAAACAGACAAAACATAAAATGAGGGTATCTAAGTATTCTTACATTTCTTGTTAACAAAACTCATACCTAATTTGATCATATTTTTATCCATTACACCTTGTATCATTGTATATATCTCTTGCAAATATGTAGACATTATAGTTTATATGTCCTTGTAACGCTGTACAGGTCTATGAATTTTATTTGCAGTATCCTTCAAGCCATTTGTAAAGTCTTGATCAAGTATTTTCAAAAGTTGTCTCTGGTTGTCCTTTCAAAATTAAAGTTAACTTATCCATTTTGGCAATTTCCAACAATTTGCTTAAAAATTCTTCTCTTGGGAGGGGCAGAGTGACAGCAGAGCTGCACAGTCACACCCAACACAGCCTCCACGTTGGGCTCCTACAAAAGAATTAAAATTTAAAAACCGGGCTGCAATTTAAATATTACAGCTTTACCAAAACAATGGGGAGGAACAGGGGAGCAAAAGGTGGCAAGAGCTCTTCCAAACTGATGCCTAGAGCAATGCAAGAAAGTCAAAATTCTTTGGACGAGGACTCTCCTTCCCCGTTGGAGATGGAGGAAGCAGAAGCTCATGTAAGCAAAAGGAAAATAGAAGACTCTTTAACCAAAAAACATTTACAGGAGATGCTGACAGATTTAAATCAAGACTTAAAAGAAGAGATAAGAAACAGCATGACTCCTATTATTTATAAGCTGGATGAAGTCAATAAAAAGCTGCAGGAGACACAGGAGAAGGTGGAGACAGCAGCTGCCAGCATGCAAAAGAGCTCTACAGAAATAGCCGAACTGAAAACATTTGAAGGATGAGCGAAAAGCAAGCTAATGCTGTTAGAAATTAAATCACGGGAAACTAAAGTAAAATTCCATGGAATTTCTTTGAACTTTGAATTAAATAAGGACCTTACTGTTTCTTTAAACAAGTGGTTAGAAGGCATTATACAGCTTCCGGGGCCAGTGGTAAACAAGTGGAACCTCTTGGAAATTGCCAGAAAGAACAGAGGTCTGAAGCTTAGGGACACTTTGGTCCAGCTGTACCCAGATATTCCTTTTGAAATACTAAATGCCAGGAAAAATATGTGCCCAATTGCACAAAAGCTTGCAGAGAAGAATTTAAGGTATTGTTGGCTTCCACTTGGACATATATTGGTCACACACCAAGGAAGAATATTCACAGCCCATGATCTAACACCTGGTGAAGAACTTCTGGAGGTGTTAGAAGCGGACTCGGGTTAGGAGTCCAAGAACTGGTAACCAAAAGAAGAGGAATGCACCAGAAGACTGCAAAGATATACACTATAGAGTTACTTTTTCCCCCCTTTTCTTTCCCCTTTTGCCTTATATATTTCCTCCTAAGTAAAGTAGACTGGAACATAAAGTGGAGGGAAGCACACAGGTAATGCCATTGGGATACCCCCCACACCTCCCCAATGGGCAAGACTCTCAGCGATAGTATTCTCCGGAATTGTTCTGGAGTCCCGGGTGAAGGAATGCTGATTAGAAGAGCTCCAGTTAAAGAGAAAGAACAGAATTTAGTAAAAGATCCTAGAAAGCAGAGTAAAGAAATGGAGGAATATATTTCTTTCTTGCATCTTACTTTCTATCTTACTTTATTGTAATTCATCTTATCATAATGATTTAGAAACAAAACATATATAGAATATATGCTTATAAACATAAGAAGAACGAAAAGGAAATTATGGGAGATAGTGTTTATAAGTGCATTTATACTGGAGTAATTTTGAGAGGCAGAAATATTAACTTAGGCGTGCCAATTTCTATTGGATTAATTAAAGATTACTATTCACAAATGAAGTAGAAGCAGAATAGAATTGGCAACTTGTAGAAGACCATTACCAAAGAATGCTAAATTCACTTCCTGTTGTAGAATAACTTGTAAATAATTTGTAAGATTTTGAAATTAATAAAAAATTTAATTGGGAAAAAAATTCTTTTCTCGAAGGTGTTTCTTTACTTCTCCAATGTTTGGCATATAATATTCTCTCTGATGTTATTACATGTAAAATAAGATAAAAATCATGTTTTTTACAGTTTTCTGGTAAAATATTCAATAAAAATATTTCTGGTACAACGTACATTATTTTTTAACATTTTTTGTAATATTTCATGAATCCAACACCAATACTTTTTTGCTTTATCACATAACCACCACATATGGTAAAAGGTCCCAGCACTATTTTGACATTTCCAACATACATTTGGTAGATTAGAATAAAATTTTGCCAGTTGCTCTGGGGTGATATACCATCTGTAAAACATTTTATAAATATTTTCCTTATATGAAGTTGCTTTAGTAAACTTTACATTTTTTTCCACATCTGTGACCACTGATCTAAGTCAATATTATGACCCAAGTTTTGTGCCCATCTTATCATAACATTTTTAACTACTTCATCTTGGTTCTTAATAGAATAGAAGAAAAACTACTTCATCTTGGGAAGAAAAATATAGTTTCAATAAATGTAAATGGATTGAATGCACCCCAGAAAAGAAGACAGATATTTCAACAACTGAAGAAAATGCAGCTAGATATTATCTGTCTGCAAGAGTCTTATATAAAAGATGCAGATCAGAAATATCTACAAATTAAGAAATTTTGAAAACCTTTATCTCTTCAGACAAGGACAAGAAAAAAAGAGGTGTTGTGACCTATGTAAAAGAACACTTACATCGAGAGTTTATCTACGCTTCAGAAGACAAATGTATTTTGTTGGTGCAAATACAAAGACAAGGAAAACTGACTTTGATTGTAAATATCTATAAATTCTATAAATGTTTGCAAAAACTATCATAAAACAAAACTTTGACAAAATTTGTATCATGGGAGATTACAACACAGTCTTTGATCTTCAGATAGAAATAACAATGGAAAAAGAGAAACAAGGAAATGAACTTCCTGCCATATTTTTACTACTAGCAGAAGAATATAACCTAGTAGATGCATGGAAAGTCAGAAATCCACACACAAAAAAAGACAAAAGACAAAAAATATTCTGCAAGACATAAGTTGTGGTCAAGAATAGATATGTGCTGGATTTCTACAACAATGATAAATGTTATAGTGGAAGTGGAGATTCTTCCAGCAACTTTTGCAGATCATAATCTGGTCATGCTGACAATTCAGGATATTCCAAAGAAAAATAGTTGGAAAGAGCTTCCGGTTTAAGCGTTTCACTGCTCGGTCACTCTCCGTCTCGCTCTGATAGGGGTGTGCCGAGACTCAGCTGACGGGAAGAGTCCGAGATCGTTCCGGACTCTCCCAGGGTCTCTGTAGGAGACCCTTAGCCTGGGGAGCTGAGGAGAGCCTCTTCCAAGGCTACGGCCAAGGAATTGAGGCTCACCTTTTCCCCGAAAGGTACCATCGCCGTAGAGCCAGTATGGCGCCCAGAGACGACTGCCAGACAAGCCGACATGATAAAAACTTTTTAAAATGCTTCTAAAGATCTCCAAGGCTGCAAATCGTGAGTTAAGCAATGCTCAGGCAAAATAAAGTGACTATAAGAACCACGAGGGTGGAGGGGAAACTCAAGACTTCCCACACACACACATTAAAATCAAAGCAGTTTTAAATCGGAAATAAAAGACTTTAAGCAAAAGCAAACGTATAAGAATTTAAGTGAACTCAAAAGCTGCAAGAGGATACAAAGTTGATTAAAATAGCTTAACTTTTATCTTGTTTTGGAAAACTTACTTCTTGTTGATATTATGGCTGGAAGTGGGCGGAGGGCGATGCTGGAGATAAAAACATTGACCGGAAATAATCAACCAACGAATTCCTCCCAGAACCAGGAAGTAACTGCAGATGTATCTACACTGTTAGCGAATGCACTGCGCCCCCTAATGGAACAGCAAAATAGACAATGTGCAGAAGCAATTGACTCAAATGGACAAAAGAACCTCAGCAACTGAAAAGATGCTTAAAAAAAATGGAAAAACAGACTGAGAGTATTAACAAAAGAGTGGATGAAGCAGAGAAAGAAAGATCATCCGACAAAACACAGCTAATACAGCTCCAGCTGGAAAGATCCATGTATGTTCTACGCTTCCAGGGGATCCCTGAAGATAAGAACAAAGACTTAAAGGAGCTTATAGCAGAAGCTCTTGCACCATTAATGGATTATAAACAAGAAGATCTATTGAAGGAGATGGACTGGGCTTACAGAACTTATCCAGATTTTTTAAAGAAAAATAAACTCCCAGGAGAAATATGTTTGAAATTCATGAAGCGATATACCAGAGACCTGGCGCTGGAATCTACACAGGGGAAATCCTTGAAAATCAAGAATTAGGAGATCAAAATCTTAAAGGATATTCCCTTTGAAATTAGGAAGCTGAGGAAACTTTATAGGGAATTCTCTCT